ATGCATGGATTTTTAAATGCTTTTTAAAGATGGCATTGCTGTAGTAACTGCTTCTGTGTCCAAACCAATGGGTGGCTGAAGTCTCTAGGTTGGGCAGCACATAGCCACCTTGCCCACTTCCCTTCTTGCCGGGCGGTTGAAGGGTTCATCCCTGAATTCCTCTGCAGTGCTGGCAGTGAGGCAGCTCCCGTGGGACAGGAGGGGAGAGCCTGGGCTCTGGAGAGCTTGGCACTGTGTCCAGAGTGCAGGAGCAATTTTTGTGGGGAAGGGATGGAAAGGGGGAGAGGAAAATCAGTTTGGAACCTTTTTTAGTGTTTCGTGGGAAGTCATGAAAGTAAAGATAGACATCACGGTGGAAGGAAATCTTGATATAAAGATTTCCAGCCCTCAAGAGAGCAACATCTGGGCTGAGACGCCCTACAAAGAGCCTGTCTCAGTGTTGTGCTGGCTTTCCCAGCATGTTGCTTGGACTGGACACGCTGTCTGAAGGGTGGAGCGTTTGACCGGCAACCCAAGACAGTGCAGGGAAGGTGAAAACGGTTTAGCGAGGCCTGGAGCGTGAGGCAGGAAAGCACATCTCAGAGGTTCTGGGGGGAAGGACCAGGGAGATGTTACTGCTCCTGGGTAGCAGTAATCCTCCTGAGTGGCGTTGGCGTGGCCAGGTTCCTGCTAGCCAGGCGTAGCTTGGGAGTATCCGTTTGTGTGAGCGTGCCTGTGTGTGCTCTGCAGATGAACGATAATCTCGTGGAGAGCTGGAGCGACCTGGATGAGCTGAAAGGAGCGAAGAACTTGGAGACTGTCTACCTGGAGCGAAACCCCTTGCAGAAGGATCCCCAGTACCGGCGCAAAATCATGTTGGCCCTCCCGACCGTCCGGCAGATTGATGCCACATTTGTTCGATTCTGAGCCTCCTGCTGCCCTCCCTCTCCTGCCCTCCTTGGAGAAATGTCCCAGCTGGGTTTTTTATCCACTTGCCACTCCCCAGGTCTTCAGTCCACTGACACTCGCAGAGCAAACAGTCAATAAAAAGCACTGACTACAAGATCTTGTGTACAACGCACTCATTGTTTTTGAAAGGATGTTGTTGTTACTATTATTATTATTATTAAATCTTAACACAAGAGACCTCCTTGTGCGTCTGTTATTTACGTGGAACGTTCTGGCAGAAAGCGTTTGCCACAGATTGAAGCCACTTGGAGCCACTTGCTGACTTTTGTGTCACATCGCTGCAGATGCCACTGTTCTGGATCCGGGCTCAATGGTAGGCTCTGAAAATGGGAAGAGACAGAGGCAGTGTTGACGTGGTGAAGAACCTGCTAAGGATGCTCATCTAGATCTAGGTTGTAAAACTCAGGGGGGTTGGTGGGAGATGGGCCTTTCTGTAATGATTTTTATTTTTTTTAAATGCAGCTGCAGGCTCATTAGAGGATTGAGGCCAAGTAGCCTGAGCTGTGAAAGCAGCGTGGGGCTGTCTGTGCCTGAGTGAGCTACCGGCCTCCCTGGGGCCC